AAAATATTGATATTTATGCAATAATGATCGTTACTTTCATATGTTGAGTTGACGAAGATAATCGTAGTTAAAATAACGATACATATATTATGATATTTGACTTTTTTATTTATATAGATATTTATGCTCTAATATTTGTGAAAAAGTTTGTTACTTTACAACATTATCATTTTCCATTTTTTTAATTCGAAAGCATAAATATTTATGAAAAAATATCAATACTTTGTAGCATTATCCTTTTAAAATCAGGAAAAATGAGAAGGCCGCAAAGTATCAATATTATTATACAAATATGGCTACTTTCAAATTTAAAAAAATGAAAAATGAGAAGACTGCAAACTATCTATAATTTTCCATGAATATCGATAGTTTCGAATTAAAAAAATGGAAAATAAAAATACTGCAAAGTATCAAACTTTTTCACAAATATCAGAGCATAAATATCAATATGAATGAAAAAGTATAAAACGTCATAATATATGTATCGATATTTTAACTATCGATCATCTTCATCAACTTTTTTTTAATATATAAATGTATCGATTATCATTGTATAAGTATCAATATTTTAAATTTTGATCTTTTTATTAACTTTTTTAATATTAAATATCGATCATTAAAGCATAAGTATCGTATTTTAACTTTTGATATTATCTGCAACTTTTTCAGTGTTTAAAAATATCAATCATCATATATTCAGTATCGATATTTAAAATTTCGAACTACTTTGTTAATTTTTTTTGTATCAATTCACGTTGAATAAATATCGATAATTTTTTTATTAATAATATTTTTAGGCGCAACTAGATTTATTATAGATATTCATAACATTTTCATCTTTTAATATATTTTGTTCAAAGTTAAAATAATATTTTAGATGCAACTAAATTTATTACACAATATTAACATCCAATATTTAAACATACTTAGCAATCGATAATATTTTTGGGCGCAACCTGATTTTATATATATATATATATAACATTTTAGGCGCGACCGATTTTATTACAAAGAAAATTAACACTCCAGATCGCAATCTAATTTCTAAGTGAATCATAATATTCTTGAGCTCAACTAGATTTCTTATAGATATTCGTAACAATTCTAGTTGTTAACTTATTTTGTTAAACTCTAGTAATATTTTAGGTGCAACCAAATTTATTACAAAAAAATTAACATTTCAGATTACAACCTAATTTCTTAGTGAACCATAATATTATTGGGTACAACCGGATTTCTTATAGATTTTCATAATATATTCAGTTTTTAACTTATTTTGTTATTGTGAAAATGTTTAAGACATCACAGTTTAAACTCTGGTAACATTTTAAGCGTAATCAATTTTATTTAAAAAAAAATAACAATCTAGATCGCAACTTATTTATCAGTAAACTATAACATTTTTTGTCGCAATCGAATTTCTTATAGATATTCATAATATTTTTTGTTTTTAACTTAGTTTGTTATAATGAGAATGTCTAAAGTATCATCAATTTAATCTCTATTAACATTTTAGGCGTAATTTAAAATATTCATAATATTCATAATATTTATCGTTTATAATTTATTTTCTTATCGTTTATAATATTTTAAATGCAACATGTTATGTTATTGTAATTGATAATCTTTCTAATTCTAAATTATAACATTTAATGTTTTATTTTTAACCTATTATCTTTTTAATCGATGACGTAGTTTATTAATCTTATTTTAATTTTCTAACAGCGTAACCGTCCGATAAAGAAGAAAAATGGTGGTTCACTGTTCTCCTTATCTACTCTAATGGTTGGCATTCCGCTAGTAATCGTGAATATCTGTGAATAAATTAAGGTAGGGAGACAGATTGTTAAGATGGAGGGATTGAAGGCAAGGGAATCAAATTGTTTAAACTTGATTGAATATGAAGCCGTATCCTATAGCGCCTACAGCACTAACACCAGACTCTTGGTTTACAGCCTGACAGGCTGAAGGTGGAAGAAGACACCCTCACACCCTTCACCTGTGTTATAGTGTGAGAAGGAGAAGAGACATTCGGACTGTCCCACTTGCTTTACTAGCTTTTTTATTGAAACCCCCGCTCTTCGTTTAATAATTGCACAATATTAGCTGCCATGACTTGAGACTAACATGTTAACATATCCTTTAAATCTGAATGAAAAATGTAGGTAAGGTCTAGGGTTTGGATTAAGTGTTGAATGAAACTGAAGATCACCACAGTATACGTACAGATTCCAGATTTGTTTCCCCCCTCTCTTCCCCCTGATTTGATTGTTCCTTCTCATATGTATATATATTTCTTTTTCTTTATTTTGTTGCCAGTAATGGCAGCCATCTTCAGTGGCAGTAACTGCAGCAAATGAGAGGGAAAGAGATATTCATCGGGAAGGTAAAAGCCTATAGCATCCTGCCACTTTCTTCTTCTCTCTATGTTATCTTCCTTTTTCCCTTCTGCTAACCCTTTGTGTTTCTTTCTTTACAATGACAGCAAAACATAGCTCGACTCACTGAGTGTGTGTGTGAAGATCCATGCATGCTGCTAATGAACAAGAAACACGGTTAACAATGTTAGAAACCCCACGTTTTTAAGTGGCTTTCTGCCTTAGGATTTCCACTAAAAAGCCTGTTCTTTTTAGCATAAATCTCGGGAGAGAGCTTTAAGGCAAAAATAGATTGTGTTTGGGGTGGAGAACAACTAGGGAAAATGGAGAAAGAAATGAAAAGACTGTAAGAGAGAGAATTAATGGAAGGTGGTTCCAATAGCACTTCTTGCATGATGGATTTTGGACACAACGATACTGGTAGTAATGGGTTACGTCGAATGTCGATGATGCCTCCCATGGCTTCCCATCATCACCATCATCATTCCAATTTGGACTTGAACCCCTTGTTTCTTAGTAGCGGCAGCGTCTCTATGATTCTCGACGATCACAACAACAACAACACGGGGTATTATTTCATGGAGACTAGCAACGATGGCAGCTCTCTCAAAACCAAGATCATGGCTCATCCTCACTATCATCGTCTCCTGGTCGCCTATGCCAATTGTCAAAAGGTATCAAAAAACAAAACAAAACCATGATGGTTTGACTTTTACTTATAAAAGCCTAGTTTCTCATGTGGTGGCGGTGTTAAAATTCGAGCAGGTAGGAGCACCGCCGGAAGTGGCGACAAGATTGGAAGAAGCATGCGCATCGGCGGTTGCTACCGTTGGTGCTAGCAGCAGCGGAAGAATAGGTGAAGATCCAGCACTGGACCAATTCATGGAGGCTTATTGCGAGATGTTGACTAAGTACGAGCAAGAGCTCTCGAAACCTTTAAAGGAAACCATGCTTTTTCTTCAGAGGGTCGAGTCTCAATTCAAAGCCCTCACTGTTTCCTCTTCGAATTCTGGTGATAATATTCTCCCTCGAACATGCGTCTTGTTTAATATACTAGGTTAAGGCTATATCTGCCATGCAAACCTGCAAATTGTTCTTCGAAGAGAATGATCTGAATTCGTCAGCATTTAGGGTTTGATCAAACTAGTGTTAATAGTGAAAAGTGAGCATTCACAGGGGAAATACATGTAACTTGTTTCCTAGAGCAGTTCTCCAGATTTTTTCCAATGTTGAATGGTTACAGATTAAGTTCTTCGGACTCTTTCATATCTCCATATTCATGTCTCAAACACAAATGTTTGAACTTAGTAATTTTTGCGTATTTGGCTTGTTAAATACTCCATGAAAAATAATGAGTTCCAAGAATCATAGGCTATAGATGCTTGTCTTGATTAACCAACACGCCACCTTGATCTGATTCAAGTCGAGTCGGAGACATCATGTGAAGTGCTTACAAATTTGTTATGTATTCAGCTTGTGGTGAAGCTTTTGACAGGAATGGATCATCAGAGGAAGTGGTTGATGCGAATAACGACTTCATTGATCCTCTTGCGGAAGATCGAGAACTTAAAGGCCAGCTTTTGCGGAAGTACAGCGGATATATAGGCAGCCTGAAGCAGGAATTTACGAAGAGGAGGAAGAAAGGAAAGTTGCCTAAGGAAGCCACGCAACAGTTGCTGGATTGGTGGAGTAGACATTACAAATGGCCTTACCCTTCGGTTTGTACACCCTTTGCACAACTTATAATGTCCATATCTTAAACCTTTAATGCATATGTTAATCATCATCTGTGTGTCGCAAAACCGAATTCGCGGGCGGCAACAGGAGTCGCAGAAGCTTGCCCTTGTGGAATCGACCGGTCTGGATCAGAAGCAAATAAACAACTGGTTCATTAACCAGAGGAAAAGGCACTGGAAGCCATCTGAAGATATGCAGTGTGTGGCGATGGATGGTACACATCCATTCTATTTCATGGACAGTGTTCTAGGAAATCCGTTTCCCATGGATCTTTCAACTACATTTCTCTAATGAATTAATGAATTTATATATGGGATAATCATTTCCTGCTAAGCTGCAAGCTTGAAGGCAAAACTGCATACTATTTGTGCTGACTATATCATAGTTAATGTGATGCGGATTATCATGTTTATGTCATGTTATTTTATGCGTACATGTTGCATCCATTTTAATATGGAGGTTTTATTAGTTTTTGCATTTTCTTCCAACAAAGAAATGTTACATTTGGTTTACTCATGTATGTCATGTTTGCTAGTCTCCGATTGGTGGGGCGTATCATGAGCATCCGCCCTGCACCATAGTTTTTTGATAACCGATTAACCGGATACAAAAGAAGATAACTGGTTCCTGGCATCTGCCATAGCAAATGCATCAGCTGCACGCAGGCAATGGGGTCCAATGCGGCCATCTACATATGAAATAAATCAACATATGCCATTGCACTCACACAGTGGATGGTGCATGAATGGTTCGAGTTCTTCATGCGAAAGCCAACTCTCCTCGGTGACTAGGTCAGAATACAAGCTCGTCGACAGGTTCAGCCGTGCTGTTATTTCTTATGAGCGTCATGGTTGAAACCTATTGCAGCAAGCACGAGTACTACTTTTCTTGAATTAAAGAAAATTGTTATCATTATTAAGATGCAAAACATGAATGTTCACCATATTGTTCAATAATACACCTATATATCAGCACTGTAAACACTATAAACTGAAAAAGTGTCAATCTGAGAGAGATAATTACATAAACTTCCTTTGATTGACTGGATTTTAATGGTTTCCCGCATCCTTTCTGATTAACTTATGTGCTACTTTAGTCACCTTAGACTCTAGACTGCAACATAACGCATACATGATCGTGAGGCATCAGTTTCTAGCTTGTAGTTTCACCAGGCATTAAAACGACAGGTCCCCTGCTTCATGATCCATAGTCTTGTATGCAAATCCCGATTCCTCACTCGGTCGCCTTTTGACAACGCTTGCCCTCTGCACTAATCTCACTAATGCTTGTACAACCTCGGACATGGAAGGCCGAAACTCAGGTTCTGGCTGCATATAAACAAACAAAAGGAAAAAGTTGATAGTATGATGTGTAACCGTGTTCTTTTGCTTTAAGCTTCTTTTTGTTTGACCCAAATTGTCCCAAAGCATTAGTAAGTTCCTTTACCTGAACACACAGAGTGATGATGTCGGCAAAACGCGACAGAGATTTTGCAGGATACATGCCATTGAGGGTAGGATCGACCATTTTTGCAAGGGCATCGATATCATGTAGTTGCGGAGTGGCCCATCTGACGAGTGATTGCTCCGATCTCACCCTTGAACTGAACAGAATACAATGCCAATTTATCGAAACAAAATTATATTTTCTTGGTAGCAATGCCAATATACAAAAGATCATTAGCTAGACAATGAGTTTTACCTGTCCAGTGGTTTCCGACCAGTCAGCAGCTCCAACATCACCACTCCAAAACTGTACACATCGCTCTTTACAGTATATATTCCCGACAATGCAAATTCGGGAGCACTATAACCAAAAGAACCAACCACTTGTGTGGAAACCTGCCCATTACAGAATCAAACAAAAGAAAATCTAGCTTAAAGCATTCCTTCACAGAGGCAAGCCTTGGTCACCAATGGCTCATTGTCCTAAGAACATTTTTACCTGTCGCTCGGTATTTGGTGTAAGAGCAGCTAAACCACAGTCGGACAAGTGAGGATTGAGCTCTTCGTCAAGTAAGATGTTTGCTGACTTGAAATTTCTATGTACAACTGAAGGCAAGCACACTTCGTGCAAGTACCTGAAACAATAACTTCATCAAAAACAAACATACACAAGCAAACAGGCGAGGGATAGAGAGACAAGATAATCGCACACATGTAACATACTCTAAAGCACGGGCAGTGCCGAGCGCCACTCTGACACGTTCATTCCAGCTAAATGTCTTGCTGTCATCATCAGAAAAGTGCAGCACCTCGTGAAGACTACCATTTCCTACATATTCATATACTAGAAGACGCTGTCCATGCTCGGCACAGTATCCAGCCAATGCAACAATATGGGGATGTCTGAAGCGTGACATATTGGAGACGGCTTCCAGAAAATTGTCTTCCTCTTGTAATGATAATGCAGCATTGTCTATCTTTTTAATAGCCATTGTCTTAAATCAAACATTAAAAATAATTGTTATCGAAGTGAAGAATGACGCATAACCAGGAAAGTTCAATACTATATAGTTATTACGGTAAAGCCACCTTTCCATTTGGGAACTCTGCCTTGTAAACACGACCGAGGGAACCTTCACCAATAATGTATTCTTGACTAAAACTATTTGTTGCTGTTTGCAAAGCTGTTACGGTATATGATGCAGCAATGATGGGAGACTTCATTCTGTTTATAGATCCGCTTTTGGAAATCTTATCTACCATCACTTTGTCAGCTGGTGGGGGTTTCAAATCTACAACGGTAGCAACACTTTTAACCCTTTGATCGTGCATCTCAGTATGTCCTGCAAAACATGAAGAAGAGTATTGGTCCGATATTGTTAGGATGCTAGAAAGATTTTCAATGAAGCTTTATGCAATCCAAAGGTTCAAAGCAATTTACTTCCTCGATAACGTAAATATGAAGAAAACCCACCTTCATTGGAGCCAACTGAAAGACTTCCCCTCGAAGCTCTTGTGCCGCTCACTTTTCGTTTACTTTTACGGATGCAGAAAACAACAGCAAGTAGTGCCAGTGCAACTACCAAAAAAGAACCAAGAGCTATGACTACAATTTGTCCAGCTGATGGTTTGTTATCCGACTCTGATGATTGAGCATCAGAAGTGGGGGATATACGAGTTCCTGATCCAGTTTTATGTCTATTACGAGATCTACCATATGGAGGTGGACTAAATGGTGGCCGAGGAGGAGCTGGTCCATTGTCAAAGGAGTTGCCATCGTATCTGTTTATTATTTTTTATGGCAAAGTCAAACATTTTGCATAAACTAAATATCGAAACGTTAAACTGGTTATATCAAGCCTTACATAAAAGTCGGGAGTGAAAGAATCTCTTGAGGAATCCATCCACTGAATTGATTATTTTCAACATTTCTGTTTCAGAATCATAAGAACATACATCTGAAAGTGTAGACCTAACAACAGTATGAGGAAAAGTAACTTACAGAGTTTTCAAAGGTAAACCCAAGAGGACATTAATAGAGCCGATAAATTGATTGTTCTGCACATACCTACCACAAATTCAAATTCAAATACCAATAACACGAGGTCAAGCTCCGTAATATATAAAATCTGTTTTGCCTTTTGTTTTTACTCCACACTTACAGAGATGAAATATTGCTCAATGAGCTGAACGAAACAGGCAGATCCCCACTAAAATTGTTGAAAGAAATATCCCTGCATTAACAAGGTAACCAAATTGTGATGTTGTTAGAAAAGAATTCGGTATGGGAAACAGACGATCAATACACATCATGACATGGTTAAATGTCATTACGGTATTCGTATAATATAAAGGTTGAGCTCTCTTACAAGGTACCGAGGTCAGGAAGATTAGCGAAAATGTCTCCAACAGACGGGGAGAGTGAATTGTGGCTTACATTGCTGTAACACAGAATTTTACAAATCGGAACTGAGAGGAAGCTCGATTTTCTATTCAACTGTGTGACGGTTAACTAAAAATTCATAGTATCCGAGATATGTCACATACACGTAAGTAAGAGTAAACATGTTGGAAATGGAATAAGGAAGACTCCCACTTAAGTTGTTACCTGCAACATTCCTACATCGAATGACAAATAATCATTTTAATGTTTAGCGGTGAAAAAATGCATTATAACATTAGAAACAAAACGAATCAGAGACATTACAGGCTCGTAAGATTCGGTGGCAATTGGTACGGAATTGTATCATGAATTTTGTTGTTGCTCAAATCACTAACATAATACAAAGAAAAAAGCCAGTTAACTAGCTAGCCAGTTAATAGAAGAGATACAATGTCGATCTCCCTGTGTGGAAACAAGAGAAATGGAATCATCTTACAGAGTTCTCAAGGACATAAGATCATTGAGCAAGTATCCCATTGTTCCGGATAATCCTAATCCAGAAATACCACTGTTATAAAAAGAACAACAACCAGTTAACCAAAACATGAACTCATCATCAAGCTACGAAATTCCGAAAAACAAAGTGATACTATCGAAATAGGTACTCCCGTACACGGAAACAACAGCCGAGCCGTCACAAGTAACACCTTTCCATGACTCTCCACATGGATCACCACTGTCAATATTCCAATTTGTTAACTCTGTAGGACTGTTCAATGAAGTGTACAGAACCTGAAGAGCTTGAACTGCCCGCAGAAAAAAAAAAGTAAAGAAAATAACTTAATCAGAAAATCTCAGGTTCCAAATTTGGTAAATCAAATATAGATTAGATTGAATTAAACCTTCCATTTATATAACTAAAACCCAGAAATTGTAGATTTTCTTGCAGCCGCATTTCATAAGATATCACCATTTCCCCACAAAAATGACAACCCCATAAATAAGAACAAACATACATTTTCTCTCACTTTCTTCTCATATTTTCTAGAGAAACAAACACTTTACACAGAAGAAAATATCAAACCTTTCAACCAAAAGATCATTTCTTTACTAAAGCACAAAAAATCAGACTTGTCAACACCAATCATACAACCAAATCAACGAAGCCAATGCCAAAGACAACTAACCCCCCCCCCCCCAAAAAAAGCCAAAAAAGAATAGAGAAAAATACCATCAGTAGAATCAGTGTTGCATTGAGCAGGAGTGAAATCAGAGATTAACCCAAGTAAGACCAACTCAATAATTAACAAACGAGCCATAGAAAGAGATAATCCTCTATTAATGCAACTCATTTTCTCTTCTTGTAATAACAGTAGTATGTACTATATGGTAAGCTTACAGGTGATTTTTGGCAGCGTTTAGAGGTGAAAAAAAAAAAGATCAGGTGAGTAGGAAATGAAAGAGAACCATGGACGCGCAAGCAGAGGTGGAGGAGGAGGAGGAGAATGTGAAGTAGGAGGAGTTGTTGGGAAGATTAGTAGTTGGAGACATCGCCATTAAAGGAAAGGAAAGGAGAAATAGAAGGGGGAAGAGAGATTCGAAGCTTGAGAGTAGTCATGAAGAGAGAGGGAGTCTCGTTTATGTTATTAGAGTTTGATCGAAGAGTGTTGTCTTTTATCCGTGTCGGCGAAAATCGAAGAAAATTAGAGTTGGCAGTAAAATCTTGAAGAAAATTCAATATAATATATATAATAAATTCAGCCAATTTGAATTTATAAATTCATGTTTTATATAGTACATGTATGGATTAGGTTTCTACCTTATTTGAACTCAATTTAAATTTTATATCGTTTATTCGTCGTTTAATTCAATTTATATTGAGAGAAATTTTATTTAATCTTATTTTTGGGATAATATATGCATTTGATATGAGTAAATATATCTAATTATTATTTTTATTTAACAAAATAATTATCTAATTAAGATGATAAAGAGAATCATATTAGTGCAGTTATCTTAAATATATAAAAATTGTACTATTTCTTTTATTCGGGTGAGATATTTCACACTAAATTTAACCTTAACTTGACTCTATCTTATTCTGAAAAATATTTCACTCAATTTGATCCAAGTATATTTAAAAAAAACATGATTTCATAAGATTGAATTGAATTATCTTATATTCATCCTTAAATATATGTATATTATTATTCGGTATATATCTTTTTTTTATAAAACTAAAGTAATTATAAAGTAGCGTATGTTTGAAATATTATCAATTATTTGATAATTAACGTTCAATCACCCCTATTGAGTCAATAGTACTCGAACTCATGACTTCTAAGAATAACAATCATTCCTTTAACCAATTAAATAATTTGATTCATACATTATTCGATATATATCTAAATTCAAATAAAATTTAAATGATATGTCGAATACTTAAATTTGAGATTTATAACTTTAGCTTATTCCTCTTCATCCCAACGGTTTTATTTGCTTTATATCTTTCATTCACTTTTAGATTTCATTTTCCGCTAAAAGCTATGTTTTGTGCTACTAGGAATACAGCCTAAATCTTTAATATTAGATTGATAGATGTTTTAAATATCATAATAAATGTTCAATAATGAGAATAAAACTTAGGTCATATTAAAAAAAAAAGGTCTTCAGGGCCATTATTTTAATTAATCCCTAAAATCATTCCCAAAAAAATATTAACCCCTAAAAGATTGATCTAAATACATTTTCCCCTATATTATTCCTTAAGCTTCTAAATATTCATTTCAAATTAGCCCTCACATTTTTTAGCATTACAATTTCATTCCCAAACTACGACCATCATCCTAAGTTAATCCCTAAACTCTCAACCTTCCAATTTCATCATCAAATTCACCCAGTTATGTAATTAGTTTAAATCATATTTTAATCTAAAAAAATCAGACACGTTCTAAAAAGGGGCATGATTAGCATATGCCGATAGTTTGGATGGAATCGAAATGTTCAAAAGTTTGGGTACTAATTTAGAATGAGAGTCATAATTTGGGGTGAAACTAGAATATTCAAAAGTTTGAGGACTAATTTAAAATGAGAGTCATTGTTTATGGATGAAATTGAAATATTAAAAAAAAAATCTAAAAACTAGTTTAAAATGAGAGTCATTGTTTATGGAAGAAATTGAAATATTAAAAAATCTAAAAACTAATTTAAAATGAGGATCATAATTTAAAAGTAAAATTGAATATTAAAAAAATATGAGGATCAATTTAAAATAAATGTCATAATTTGAGGATGGTCTCATATGTAATATGTGTTAATTAATTAGTAAATCACATCATTATTTATCTTCGTTGCCTAATGGATAATCGGTGGAAGTATCAATGTGAAAAATAAAACAGAGTTTGACTACTATTTCTTTTAAAAAAAGTACCAACATGAAAAAAGTATAATTTAAGTACTAATTTATCAATTAAATCAATGCAAAATGAGCTAGTATTGTAAATGGACGCTTCTCACGTGACATATGGGTAAAAACATAAATATGCTTTCAAACGTAATTTAAAAATGAAAAAGCTGAATTTTTTAGTTTTTACGGTTGGTAGGCTTGTAAACGAACTGAACGAACACAAATGAGGGTATGTTTATGTTCGTTCATTTAACTTTAACCGAACAAACGAAAGAACACGAACAACTAAACGAATATAATTTATTGTTCATGTTCGTTCATTAAGAAATTTAACTTACTCATGTTCGTTCGTTTAAATGATAAACAGACACAAATGAACGAACGCAAATGAACATAAACAAATGAATACAAAATTATTTGGATTTATATTTGAGGTGTTTTTCTTTTCAAATAATTTTAGGATTTATGTTAGGATTGAAGAGAATCAATTCGAACAATTGAAAAATGTGCAAGGGGTGAATCGGTAATAATTTGTTTAGAGAGTGTTAAAAACATTTTGATATTTCGATATAATAAATTAAGTTAAATGAATTTTAAGATTTTCCAAAAAGATTTTCTAAGTATATTCGATATAATTATTCGAATATCAAAATATTACTCCAAATCTTTCAAATGTCATTTTTAATCCTTACTCAAGTGTAAAATTAAGTTTTAATCTTAAAATAATTTCAAAACGATTTTACAAAATATTTTGAACCATCTCAAAGCCAAAAATTCCAGATTGCTCAGAGGGAACTGATTCCCCCCTGAATGGTTTGGCTCCGAGAATTCTAGTATGCTCGGAGGGAACCGATTCCCCCCCAGGGGGCACCGATTCCCCCTGTTTAACGGTCGAAATATTTGAATTTTACACTTAGGGAACCAATTTCCCTTAAGGGGTACCGATTCCCCCCCACACTCCAAACTGTTTTATTAATTGATTTCACACTAAAACGGCTATATTATCTTTATTAATGATCCCCAACATTCAGAAGTAATTCAATGTGTATTTAAGCAAGCTTAGAAGCCATTGATCAACAACAAGAAACATCAAGCAACTTGAATCAAGAGAGAATCAAAGAGAAAGCATCAAACCTCAAGTTTGAGCATTTCAAGCCTATTTTTCATTCAATAACACTTATTGTGCTCAATTGTATTCATTCTTTAGTATTCTTTTCTTTGTTCTAGAATTGTGCAAACAATCTACCTTATGAGAATTTCCTTGTAAGTTTGCAAATTTGTATTGTTCTCTTTGGGAGAGAGTGTTCTCAAGAATTTGGGGTATTATTCTTGAGGGTTTTGTAAGGTTACTCTTTGTCCTCAAAAGAAAGACAAATTAGTGAATTTGTGGAAAATCCTTAGTGTGGATAGCTAAGGTAGTGGACGTAGACTTTGGTTGAGAAAGTCGAACCACTCTAAATCGTTGTGCAATTTCTTTCAATTTTCTACAAAAGCTTTAACCAAAAATTTTATTGCCAATTCACCCCCTCTTTGCCGATTCCGTCAATCGATTAACTCAACAGGGAGTAAGGAGAGTAAAATATAAGACAATTGACATAAGGATTTATAGTGATTCAACTTATCAACCGAGTCTAATTCCACTACATAAGCTCTTCACTTAGGTGGCGTTTGGTTCGCTGGAATGTTTCTGAGGGAATTGGAATCTGTGAAGGAATTAGAATCTGTCATGAATTGGAATCCAATTCCATATTCTGTTTGGTTCGCAGACATATCAGATGAATTTGATTTCAGTAATGTAAAATGACAGGATTGCCCTTCTTATTTTTTTCTTCTTAATTTTAGTTTGTTTTATAAATTACATGTAGCAATATATTATAAAAATTTAAAAAAATAATAAATTTTAATTTTATTGATTGATTATTCATTTTAATAAATTATAAAAATCATGCTAATAAACATCATAAGTTAAAATCATCCCAATTAGGGATGACCATGGGTTGAGTTGGGTCGAGTTTTTGGTCCACCCGACCCGAGAACAAGGGAACCTCCATCTGAGGCCCGACCAAAATAAAATTTCACCCGACCTGACCCGAAATAATAAAAAAATTATTTTTATTCAATAGAAACACTGACTTAATTGGAAAAAATATATAGAGGGGTATTATTGTAATTATTCATAAATATAAAGTAAAATTATATATTTTTTGGGTCAGGTTGGGTCGGGTATTTTTCACCCTAAAACCGAACTCGGCTCGATCCGAATATATGAATTAGAAATCTGACCCAACCCGAAATAAAAAAAAATTTTTATTCAATAAAAACAGTGACTTAATTGAAAAAAATTATATATAGAGGAGTATTACTGTAATTATTCCTAAATATATAAGGTAAAATTATATATTTTCGGGTCGGGTATTTTTCACCCTAAACCCGAACTCGACCCAACCAAAATAAAGTTTCACCCAACCCGACCCGAATATATGAATTAGAAACCCGACCCGAAATAATAAAAAATATTTTTATTTTATATATGAATAAGTTACCAAAAGATTGATAAGGGTAGTATGATCAAATTTCAATTCCCTCCAACATGGGAATTGAATTCCATCATAGAATGGATGGAATTCACTTTCCCTCATTTGATGGAAAGTTGAAACCATGAGGGATTCCAATTCCCTTGGAAAACTTGAACCAAACATGTGAAAGTGGTGGAATTGGATTCCAATTCCCCTAATTCTAAGATATTCATGCCAACTAAACGCCACCTTAGGATTTTCTAGCAAATTCACTAATTTGTTTTTTCTTTTTCAATGATTAAGAGATAACTTTTAAACTCTATATCTTTTCACTTGGCTAAGATAGAACTAATCACCTTTTACAAAAGATAAAAAGAAATAAACAATAAAACCTCTCAAAGGTTGGGTGTTTACAAATTTAGCTCACTAGAACACTAATATTTACAAGAGAGATAAAAATAAGATTGAAAAACTCTTCTCTTGTGTTTGATTGTTTGGATATGTGTTCTAATCCTTCTTCAAGTATCATCAACTTGTATTTATATGTTGGAATGAAGTTGTGGCTGTTTATAGCCGTTGGGGTGATTTTTAGCTTTTTGGGGATGAAAACTCTGTAAAATAAAATTGTCTAGTATAGAGGGTATCAGTATTACAAAAGGGAGTATCGGTACTACCTTTATTATTTTTAAAT